TGTTGAACGGAATAAAAATGCTTGTCTTACTGTATTAAGAAAAGCGTTTGCTAAATGTTTGAAAAGTCTGACAATGATTTCTCTGCACGAAGGCGCATCAGTATTTACTGAGCATTCTTTAGAAAGCGTTACTTTAGCATTACAGAACTTTTATAAAACGATATATACTGTATTTTATAAATGTTCTGAAAGCGTTTAAAACTCAATGATGTTCTGTGAGTGTTCTTATAAAGTTTAAAAACGTTTATAAACTCTTAAAAAATCATCATCAAACGTTTTCAACGTTTTATAAAGTTCCGTACAGGGTTTGTGTTTACTGGGTAAAGTCATTAAAAATTACTGGTGGGATTTATGAATAAATTATATAAGATTCTTATATGTACGTTATTTAGTAATCTTGATTGATCACATACAACTCTTTTAGGATCTGATATAAAAAATTTACAAGAATTTTCAACAAGGATACTATTGATGTCAGTAGTGACACTATTGAATATGAGAAGTGATTACTGCAATAGCAGTGACACTCTCTCTAGTAGTATATATATATTTTTATACTACTTATATACTACTTTATATAATATTATATATGTGCGCGCGCGCGCGCGCGCGCGTGTGTGTGTGTGTGTGTGTGTGTGTGTGTGTGCATGTTAATTTATTTTTGATTATTTTGTCTCTTAAGCGGAGAGCACAGATTCTTGCATAACGCATAATACAAAGGGCATAAGAAATTTAATCAATTAGAATTCATTATTTTATGGAAAGGAAGGAAACGAAAAACTTTGATACATTTTCTTGTGCATTACGTGCTAAGCCTATTTTACAATTGCGTTGGCGTAATTGTAAGTGGTTGTAGTTGCGAAAATTTACCAATCACAACCGAATATGAGAAGAATATGATTGGTATGGATATGATTGGTTAAAATTCTTACAACTACAACCACTTATAACTACGTTTACGCAATTGTAGAATACTTTATGCATTATGCGTTATGCAAAAGTCTGTATTTCCTGTCTTACTTTCAGAGTGTTTAAATAAAGATAAGGCATAAATTTCCAGTGCTTTATCGTATGGAATAAAAGAGTGATATCTGTTAGGTTGGTTTTTGAAATTTTGGGGAATTTGTACCAGATACGGAAATACTCGGTTTTCAATTGGATGGTACTCTACCAAATATCAGAATACGGTAACACGTTTTTTTCGGATATCCGATAATTTTATAATCCGATGTATTCCTAATTATAATGTCCAAATATTATTTCTTTTCTTCTTTGTAAAAAAGAGTTCTAATGATAATTGGAAGATAGAAATTTTACTAGTTGTCGTTAGCCTAAATTATGTCTACATTATTCCTTGAATTTGTGTAGTTAGCCTAAATTATGTCTAAATTATTCCTTGAATTTGTGCAATTTGAAGAGTTAAATATGTATATTAATTCACACAGAAATATTTAAGCACTAACAATAAGTTCCGCTTTAAATGAATATTATTATAGTTAAATTTATTGTTATAGGTCCAAATTCGTATCACATTGTTTAAATATTAAAATCACAAGTATTATTCAATACTTATTTCACAAAGTCGATACCTCTATCAAATAAAAACAAATATGTCTATTACGAGTATTATTACTCGTAATAAAAATCATGTTATTTAGAAATTTTTAATTGATCTTTTATAATAAAAGAATAACTTTAAAATAAGCTATAAACGCAACGGATGTTAGAATTTCATCTAAAACAAGAAAGAAAACGATAACTTTCACAACTTAGAAAACATTAAGACGTTTTATAAAATGTTCAAAAGGCATCTTAAACTTTTTAGATATTTTATAAAATTATCAGAATGACATCTTTGAGATGCTTCATAAAACGGTTTATATTTTGATTTAAGACATCTTTTAAGCATATTTTATATATTTATTCAAAATGATAACAAAATTATACAAAAATTTATTAAATTATTAAATTATTTAAATCTGTGTTCTAATAAAAATATATGGAAATGTACATATTATAAAATAAAAACTATAAAATAAGTGATAAAAATTTCAATTTTTTAATATATACGAGTACATTATGTACTCAAGATCATTTACGTAGAGTTATATTGTGATGCATGAACTAGTTGTCTAGTAAATAAACAAAATATTTATTCGTTCTATATCTTTGTAACTAATCGATAAATCGCACTGAAACTTTGCATAAATTATTTTGAATATTTAAGTACTTGTAAAAGAAAAATGTATATTTTTTATTATTTTTAAGATTTTAATTTGTAACAATAAAAATAATAACAAATAAAATAAATAAACTACAAAAGTGTGTTATTAAACAAAACTATAATCTTATTCATACAACTTTTATATGTATATAGTTTATGTAAAGTATAAATATTAAACATAGAATAAAATCACTAGTTGAGGACCACTCTTTAAAAAAAATTTTGATCATAAAGATTACATTATCCATGATTTTATTCCATTTCATTACCTTTTTATATGTTTCAATTTGATTTAAATAAAGTAATGACAATTATTCACATATATTAATTGCAAATTAATTCACCAAATGTTTTATTTTGGTAGGGTTACTACATTCCATAAGAATAATACAAATTTATTAATTTTAGAATAATAAAAATGATTTGCACATGCATACCGTAATTGTCGTAATATACATATATAACGAAATTATAATTAATGATTTACATTTAATTCTAGGTAGAGTCACTCTAGTAAGAGTCAAGATGTAAGCGATCCTCTTTGTGGTGCCACCAAATGTTTCAGTTTGTTAATGTGTTAGTGAATGTAAGTAAATAAATGAGAGCAATTTTTATAGATGTAGTACCACGTTTGTCAAGAGGGTGACACCCGCGTCGGGGCGGACGTTTTTCGTTTTGGTCTGAGTTAATTATCTTATAAATAATTATCGCCAGTCTAATTTTGGCTATATTGATCCTCTTCTTATTTTTCTAAGGTCATTTATTAAAGATAAATAAAAATTATTAGTTGTTTCCGATAAGACTGAAAAGCGTCTTTCCGGTTTTGTGTTTCGATTCTTACTAGAGTAATACTAATTCTAAGGTCCAATTGTGAATCATAATACAGTTTTAACACATTCAAGTTTATTTAAAATTAGTGACAGTTAAAAATCAATAATTAAAAAAATTAATGAAAATTAAACGCAATTAAACTACTGTAGTAATATCACGAATTAAATTAACAAGCAATTTTAATAATTTTTTTTTTGCTCAATTAGGCATTCTATTAAAAAGATGTTAATATGCTCGTATGGAATCCAATGATCCTGGTTCAACTTTCGGCCGAGGTAATATTTTTCGCAATAAATTTATAGTTTTTCAGCATATTAACATCTTTTTAGGATGCCTGATTAAGCATCAAGTTATTAAAATTGCTTGCTAATTTAATTCGTGATATTACAGTAGTTTAATTGCGTCTATAAGTCCAGAAAACCAATTCGGCGCGTAGTTCGAATAATTGCAAATATGATATACCTATCTGTAAGTACATACATATATAGTATATACAGTAATTCAGATTGAATTATTTAAAGATCTAGCTTTGACCGTTACGGCTATTACTTCTATTTCTTAAATGTTATTAATTTAGCAATAAAAATGATTAACTTATGAAAGTAACATTTTTTGCATATAGACATACTATTTTTTATTTTATTTCGATACTTAAAACAAATAAATCTTTTCGGCATCATTTGTAAGATTTGACAAGTTTTTAAACATTTTCATAATAAATTTACGCAATAACATTATTGTTATAAGAGGTAGTGATTAAATAACACCCGCGGACATTTAATCTCAACCAAACATACGAGTAATATTGATTTTTTTCCATAAAATCTAATGCTATTTACTACTTAAAAGCCATAAGGCAATTTTTTTCTTATTACATTGTGAATCAATTTTTAAAGCTCTATATTTGTTCGTTAACCTCACATATCCAATTAATCGACGACATCAGTAAAATATGTAACTCTAGTCCTAATAAATTAAATTGAATTAACACTTGAAAGAGATAAAACAAATGTTAAAGAATCTTATCATGTATATACCATTTAATGAAAAATACTATAATTATTTAAATATAAAAAGTAGTTCAAAATTAGTGCCTGATCTACATCTAGTGCTTTAACCCTACTTCCAAATTTAATTTTCTTTGCAGGGATTGTACGTCTAATACAATACATCCGTAAGGCCCGGTTGCACCAACGTTACTTTGATTTTAAGCGAAACTTAAAACTGTCTCTATCTCGTTTTAAAACCGAAAAGAGACAGGGACAAAGAGAATTTTAAGCCTCGTTTAAAATTAAAGTAACATTGGTGCAACCGGGCCTAAGACATTTTAAAACGTCTTGTTTTGGATATCTTTTAGACGTATATTATAAAAAAATAAAAATAAAAATTATATGAAAACGCGTGAGGAAGAATATGAGACGAAAGTTATTGATATAATGATGATGTATAATACTAATATAATTTCGATAATGATCTGTCTGTAATAACAGATATGCTACCTATTATAAAATATTCTTAATCGAGAGAAACATAAGACGTCTTATAAGATATTTTATGTTCATTTTCACCAATGTAGATTAACTTTAATCTTAGCTCAATTTATTTATTATTTTTTTCTAATTTTTAGAACTAATGAATATGTTGACTTCAAATTAAAAGTTGATGTATATTGATAAAAATGGGCATTAAAATTTTTTGGGTTGTAAAAATTTTTTTTTTAATTCTGCATTGTTCTATCTGCACTCATAAGTGTATCAAGCGGGTTTTAAAACGTACTGCCAGAGAGCCAATCGCTTCGCAAAACAATAGACGATGGGTGGTTGTGAAACAGATAACTACGATGGTAATGGCAGCGACTAGTAACATCTATGTCCGAATGGTGGCAGCGATGTAGTGGCACGATGCGGCGAACGAAACTACCCTTCTGTCAGTCCAAAAGCCACCGCGTAAGCTTGCGGGTGGAACGCGACGTATGCGGAAGTCGTGGTAAGCTATCACCGCTGCCACCGTCATCGTGCTACACACGCGCGCGCGCGCGCACACACACACACACACACACACACATACACACACACACACACACACACACACATTCGTTTATAAAAAATACGTGTGTGCGTGTATTATGTGCACACATGTGTTTTGTCTGTGCCGTTCACATATCTATCTGATTTCTGTCTATCTGCATTCTCTAAGTACTGATGCGAATTCGTATGAATAGTGATCTAGTTTTATAAACAGAAAATACGCACTTCGAAAGGAGTTAGTGCTACGAGAGACGAAACGATCCATTATTTGCGCTCTTTCGAAATGTGTTTGCTTTCGGTAAGTCTTTTGTGAAAGTTCGCCAAAACTCGCTTACAATAGCGGTGCAAGATTATCTTTTACAAAATTTAGGAATTAGAGAGTGAAAAAGAGAGAGAAAGGATGTGTACGTGTGCGTGTGCGTGCGTGTGTGTGAGCGCGCGTGTGCGTGCGTGCGTGCGTGTGTGTGTGCGTGCGAGATGAAAATATTTTTACATTTGATCACATTAGTTTGGAACAGAACCTCTCTATTCAGTATCTTATTAATTCTCTTAGTGTTACCTTGAACTAAAGCAAAGAAGAGAAGTTATGCAATATTTATATATAATATTCTTCTATATAATACTTACAGAGATATAGCTCACGTTGCAGTTACTAATAATATAATTACATTATCAGAATTACTGACCGTGTAAAGATTCAGTTTGAATTATATTTATGATAAATAACACGTTTTTTTGCCGAAAAGTCACTAAATAAATAATTAAGCAGTGGAAAACTGGTTAACTATTTATACAAACGATTTTCCTTGATTCTATCGAAAAGATCGAATATATAAAACGTGATCGAAAATATATTGTAATATATCGATATTGTAATATATTGAAAATGATCATCAAGGCAAATTTAATACTTAGTTTTTTTAATAATACTTTATGCAGTATAAATCGTTATTGTCTCTTTAAAAGTATCATTGTGAAAGTAGTCAATCAATTTAATGTCAGAAAATGTATTTTAGCAAAGCGATACACACATAAATTACGATAATAATTAGGTATGAAATATGTATATAGTTATCAGAATTATTAAGTTTATTAGATAACTTAGTAAAATGTATTTAATATAAATACATTTTACTAAGAAAAAATTTTGAAAATATCGTAACCAAGTCACTTCCTGTACAAAGAGTTATATTAGAAGAAATTAGTTATAACAGATATCTTTTTGACAAAATTTATGTTAATAATTTGTTATTCAGTATTTCTTAACATTAATTTTATATTTTATTAGAAATATGTTAAGAAGGGCTAACATATTTCTAATTAATTTATTATTTGAATCATTTATATTATGTATTTTATATTTTATCTTTTGTAGATTATAGTAGTAAAACGTAGATTTTGATCAATCATGTACCACAATCGTTTTTGCTTACTTCATTTGATTTGATGTTTAAAGTTTAATGTTTTAAGTTTTAAGTTTGATGCTTTAATATAAATGTATTGAATGAAATTCTATATTCAAATACATGTATTAAGGAGTCTGTTTTACTGACAAGGGACTTACAAATAATTTACATGGATTGACATTCATTACTACGCACACG